TGAATTCAATGTGTACAAGGGAGAAGCGTGAGAAGTGTGCGTCAATACATGTTAGAAAGAGATAGAAGGCGGCTGAAGAGCGAAAGTCATCACCACATTGTCTAGCACAGGTGACGCAGAAAGTCGTCCAATCTGCCGCGTTGCCAATTTGTTACACCAGAAAATGTTCGCTCAGGCTTCTAAAATAGGTTAAGTACTGTCAAACCCAAGAAGGAGGTCTGGTTGAACATTTGCTTTAATATGATGCGACTTGGTGTTTTAATTTATTTTAGAATAATCTTTGATTTCCATCGATGGTGAAAAATCGACACATCCTGAGTTATTGTTACATTTTCCGACAAAGAGCGGTCGGAAAATAAGAAATACCATTAAGCAATGAAAATTATTACTGGCTGCGTGTACGTAGGTGAAAACCATTTCGAAGCAGGACCACACTCGCCTACGACGGATACTGACCAAAATCGCTCAACAATGATTACGGAGGTAGAAACCTTGCCTTGGAATGTACAAGATGCGGGGTTGTGAGGCAATGATTCAACGTTGCAGAATTTGTGGCGATCCTGACTTTTGATTTCGACTTAAAATGGAGCACCGTTGGGACTGCTCCGGAATCGATCCTAAATAGATTCGACACAATTCACAACTCAAAATAAAACCATTATTTGGGCGTAAAGAATAAACTGACGCATATTTTCAATATGCGTCTCAATTCAAGCAAGTGGGGTAACATTTTGATAACGCGGCCAATTGCCGCGTCAGCATTCCTAGGCAACGCGGCGATGAGCGTCGCCATCCAGCCGGCTTCTATCTCTGTCTAAAATATGTGTCTATATACATTTCTCTCTCGTACGCATTGAACTCAAGCGGTCAGACAAATTTGGTTTTCAGTGTATGTCTCAAAGGGTGTTAGAAACAAGCTTTGAATACAACGTGACGTTGAATTCTAAGGGTAAGTTGATTTTTTTGAGAAGGAACCCCCACTTTTTATTACAGATATAGAAAAGCCAAAAAATCCTATTCAGCAGTATACATATCATAGGGTTTAAAAACGCAAAATCCTCTATTACACATGTGCCGATAGTATACGGTCTTAGTAATTCTGTGCACCTAGGCATATTGTACACATATATTTGCGTATATATTTGACAGTGTGATATCTATTGATACTTCTGTCGAGCACAACAAAAATGAGTCATAAACCTGTAGCGAGTAAGACACTGCCACTGGTAGTTTATTTATTGCAACTCTCATCACAAGGTTGCCGTTGCTTGTCAAGTGGGCTACGAATGCACTGAGAAATAATTTAATTAAACCAATCAAGATGATAAAAAGGCCAATTAAAATGTTTAACGAATTTTAATTAGTTTGAATAAACTCAGATTTATAAAACTGTTCACCTGAATCTATGAAACTAGTTTAATCAAATCAAAACCCAATCGTTTAATTAAATATATTAATCCGTTTATTTGGAATGATTGAATCAATTTTTTAAAGCTAGTGTTATATTATTTAGATTTAAGAGGATATTTGGATAAAATTTAGAATAAAAAAACAAATTGCATTTATCTGAATGATGTGAAAAAATTGAGAAGTTGATATTGACAATTATTGTTTGTAAATAAAAATAAAAAATTCAGAGTTTTATACCCCTAACAAAATGCTCCATCTTTCATTTTTATTGATTGTGAACTCACTATATTATATGGAATCAAATTTTACCAAGTATTTGTCTGTAAAGAAACAGGTTATAATATATTAGCATTCATTAGAAGTACTTCTCTGTTTCAAATTCAGAAAGTTGGAAAGGAGATGCGTGATACTGTATTATGATATCTATTACTGATAATAAAACAATATTGCAGTCACCCGCATTCAACCCATCTAACGGCAACATTCGAATATGAAGCTCCTCGCGAAAATCACAAATGAAACTAAGAAGGTTGAAGCGCGTCACCGGCAGTGGGTCAGTTTACCTGTTTTTATCAAAATGTTTAATTATTTTAAATCTACCTCTCTACATAAACTAAGTTACGTAAACTAATTAAACAGATTAAGAAAACAGGTCATTGTTTGCTATTTTCAAGTAAATTAGCTTGATGGTATAGTATATTACTTTAAATTAAATACCAGTATATCCAGTTTGATTTAACCGAATAACTAAGAGCAACAAAGAATCTATTACGGGTAATGAAAATTTTCCACTTGTTCGTAGTTGACTTTTTTTCTGAACAGGTTAACTTGTGCTTTATGAATTGCTGACAACGTTGCATGTGAAGTGCGGCCTACTCGACGCTATTTTATCTGTTTGCCCTGTGAAGCTGAGAGCGTAACACTTACCTAGCAATAGGATTGACATATGGATTCAGCTCAGTGACAGCCCTGAGGAACTCTTGCCGGTTCACGTAGACATTCTCTTCCTTCCTGAACAGCTCAGTCAAATAATAGATTATGAAATAGTATCCCTCTTCGGTGTTGCTGCCCATGAGAATGTTGGTCTTCTTGAAGTTCTTGTTAGCCATCGCCCTGACAGGGTGTTCGTCAAGGAAAGCCCCGTCTATCACAGGAACGAATGGAAATTCGCATATGCCCAGAGTGCCCCATTCATTGTTCACGAGTTCTATCGGATCTGTCTTCTTTAGGCATTCTATCGCGCTACCTAGGTCGCTGCGTTCATGGGGACAGCCGACGGCTTCTGCTAACCTATGGGGATACAAATAATGATATTCTAAATGCTATCAGATAAATACGTTGTATAGTAGAAGATCCGAATTAGAAACGACCTTCATACACCTGTTTGATGGATGAAGGCTATTTTATATTGAATTTAATAATAAATATATCTCGAGTGGCTTAGTTAAAAAAATCCTGGCGAGACTGAATAATTGAATAGAATTAAAATTATAATAAAAACGATTTTGAGAAAATGCCGTGGCCTTCGTATATCTCAAGACATACTCGGAATTGCGAAACATTTTATATACAGGGTGTTCCAAAGAAAATGGAAAGCAGTATTTTCGTGGCAACCTTGATATTTTACTAATGCATATTTTAAAATTATTTGAATATATAGAGAGTGTTCCACATAGCAAACATGTATTTCTTAAATAGAATACCCTATATTGCATTGCATATTTGGATAGAGCTTCTAACAGCCAAAAGTTTTATATCAAGTAACATTCGGTTTCGATTGTCAGTTGCTTATTTATTTGGTGAAAAGCATTTTTGAAGATATTATCGTAAGTTATAGCTCACAAAATTTTATTATAATGGATTTTAAGCTGATCTGAAAGAAATGCTAAAATATCTCTCTGTTTATACAAGGTATCTTAAAACGCAAAATGTACCTGTTCTCATACATTTCAAATGGAACGCCCTGTATATTAATTTCTTCATCATTGAATAGCTTATCTAGGAATTCTTTTTTGATATAAGGTTTGGTCCACTTTCTTCGAACAGTTTTTGAGTTATTGCAATTAATTCCGAGAAAAAATATATTTCACATTAAGACCTAAGATCATTCATTATGAAATTGTTCTAATACATTCAAAGTGGTTCGGTTGTTGATTCCCAGATGTTTGATCTCAGGTCCAGTATTTTTCCTCAACCGCGTTGTTGCAGCAACTTGGGTAACACGATTCCCCATTGCGCTTAACTCGAAGGACCATATATCGCTGATGTTTAATGAAACCTAGTTGATCTCAGAACCGTATCTAGATCGCTGGCGAACTATAATAATTAGATTGGGAAAGGCGGACCCTATCAATCGGCCAGTGAGATCTCCCGATCTGGCGCCTTTCCACTTCTTTCTTCTTCTTCCTGAAAAGGAGAGGTTTACCAGGAGACACCTACAACATCCGTATAGGCCAGTCGTTCAAGGAGATACCTAAACAAACCCATTTAGACGTGCAAGATAATTTCAATAGGCGTCTGGCCTTGTGTGCTTTGCACAAAGGTAATGTATTCCAACAATTTATTAACCATTGATGGCCTTAGGCAGAGATTATTTTTGTTATGCTAATAAAAGCTAATGATTTGATAGATTTGAGTTTATGTTTCAATACAAGATGGATGTATTTGGTTTTTCCTGAAATTAATAGCAATAACTTAAAAAAGTTTGGGAAAAAGGTGTATAAACCATATATTAAAAAAACTTCATCTAAAAACGGTTCAACGATGTAGAAGTCTACAGGAGGCTCCATTTTTGAGGAAAAGGAACATTTTGCTTCTTAAGATACCCTGTATAAGTAGAAAGACATTTCAGCACGTTTTTCAAATCAGCTTGAAATCGATGATAATGATTTTTTTTAACTAGGATTCATCTAAATATCTTCAAAAATAGTGGAGCTGCGATCCGTCAACGCTAGTATTTTTTCAGACGTTTGACCAAATATCTGAACTCCGAAACCATTTGTAATAATGAAGCTTGTTTTTAGAAACTTTATACAAATATGCAATAAAATATACGGTGTTCTACTTAAAAAAGATATATGTTTGCCATGGCACGAATTTATAGATATATTAAAATAGTTTCAAATTATCCATTAACATAACAAAGTGACCACGGAAACAGAGTTTTGATATCAGAATGGAAAAGTGCTTCAAAGGCTGTTATATGTGTAGAGGACACATCATATCTGAAATTATTTCTGAATTGTAGTGCACAAACTTGTATCATTTGTGTTTCTGGCTAAACCTCTAATGTTTTGGTATTTTTGTTAACGCTTTCGATAGAATACAGCTACCAGATACCATGCATACTACCTACATTTTTCCAACAAAGCTAGACATTCTTATGATATCTCCATCGTCCCAGATACGAAAATATAATTTCGTGAGGGATATTTTTACTCTACATTTTTTGTAATATACACACTCGCTAGCTTGAGAGACACTTCAGAAGATATTTGTATTCATTAAATCCATTGCTTCATTGTGAATTCCGATCCGCGGATGAAATTTTTATTCCCGCGGGTCAAGATTAAATTCGGGGCTTAATGCTACATCACCTACCTTAAACCCCTGAGAAGGCTCTCCTCTCTGGAGATGATTGCCCATGGTGCAGTAGGACTACCCGACTGCATGATAGCTTGCGAGAATAAGTTCCTCGATAGAGGTGATAGTAGATGAAGGGATACTGATACAGCCCCTGCTGATTCACCGAAGAGAGTTATGTTGTTGGGGTTTCCACCAAAATGTGCTATATTATCCTGAAATTAAGATGGATATACGTCAATTGTGAGTCTTGACTAGTGCATCGAAAAATTTCCACCATTTTGCTTCCCATGCCACTGGAGAGGAAGTATCATAATCTCAAAGAATTCAGATATTACGTGTTTCGGATGTTATGTACACCACGAAAGACTATGTCACTCATTTCTGTCAGTCTGTCTTCCGCTGTTTTTCTGGTGATCCTTGGCCAGGCTATAACTTGCAGCAGCGGTGGCCGCAGTAGTAGACTCTTCGGTCTCCTTATCAGTAGCCGTGCGCTGTGCGGGTTCGAATCCCGTCCCAAGAGAAATTTTTCTCTTGGCTATGGATGTTGTGATTGTCCCTAGGTGGTAGACGGTCTCTGACTGTCGAACGCAGAGGTACAACCCGGCGGATCTGGTAGGTGGGACCAGAATGTGTGCATGTTGCATGCACACGTGTTCCCTCGCCAGAGTCCGTGTGGCGTTCCCCCTTTCCCCTGTATCCTCTATAGCCCCTCAGTACCCCATGGGTGTTTAGACATTAGGCCTTCGTGGTGGTTGGAGTATAAAAAATACCTCTCGAATTTTGATATAATTTTCACATAAGACTTCAATTATGCCCAGGGCCAAAAGGCTTTGTCGTTTTTGAAAATCGGTTCAGTGGCGGCAGAACTAGGAGCAAAAAATCAATAAAGCAAAAAATGCTTACAGCTCGGTTTTTTGTTATTTCAGAGGCTCTTGATCGTTCTTAGAAAAAATTTAAAGGAGTAAGAAACTGGGAGCTGGGGTTTGGGGCTTTTAGGGTATGGTGATGGTACAACTCAGTTACATCAGTATTTCTACTCACCGTTTAGACTTACTTTTCACAAATCTTAGAATTTCCCCTACATTTGCTCTTAAGAAGAATATACAAAAAATATTTTCAATACACGCGTCTATGGATATACCTGCGTCGTGGTTTACCGATGGATGGGTGTAGTGGCGCCAGTTTTGTCGTGACTGGCAAGTTGTGAGGTTAGTCATAGCAATGTTGCTAGATCGGTATTGTCGGGGACCGGGTGGGGACTATAGACTAAAAGACCGGTTTAACTGACTTGAATTGTTTAATTTTTGTAACACATATTGGTAGTTAACTTTTTCTCAGATGGGGGTAGGTTGTGCCGATTCAGCTCATTTTCTGCCAACGGATACAAATCATGCAGGTTACAACATTGCTTCGAGCACTAGAAAGAGAATGAGTTTTGAAAGCATCTTATCTGGTCTATACGTCTAGGAGGTTGCATTTCTCACGATTCGGTCTCGACCGATGCACTATCGGTGGTGGTTGGCATCCCACCAATTGATTTGCTGACTGAGGAGAGGTACGCGCTCTATAGGGAGGGCACCGAAGCTAGAAGCGACGAAAGAGAGGCGCTTTTTATTAGATGGCAGGACAGATCGGATGCCTGGTCATGATGTATGACTAGAAGGCTGATCCCAGATATTATAACAAAAAAAGGATAGCACAAAGCGCAATCTGTCACACCAAAATCGACAACTGCGGCAAGCACGTAGCAGCTATTAGTTGGTCCTGTTAGGGGTCTCAGTTCGGGTTTAATAGCCCAGTCAGCACATGACCGGTAGACCGACGACTTTTACTGTGAAGTAGATGTGGTCTACTTGCCATTGGACCAACTAAAACAGAGACAAGGGACCAAGCCTAGACCACGCTGATAAGTCGCCAAGAAGCACGAAACAGCGGTCCATGGTTGGCTGTCTTTTTGATTGGACCGATGAAAGCATCACGTTTTTTTATTGTAAGTTGGATCGATAAGGAAGCGGTGTGAATAGATTACTACTATACCGCACAGTTCATCATAGGACATGCTACCTAAGGGGGGTGGAAAGAGAGAGAGAGTATGCAAACTAGCTATATTGCAACGGAGAGGAGGATACTCATAATTATCTACTCGAATGCAGAAGATGGCTTGAATAGCAGAGACAGCTAGAATTAACGCTCGGCGAGAGGCTTACTGCTGTCAATTTTGCCACGCATGTAATCGAGGGCAGATAGGTTAATATTCAGCCAGAAGTGAGGCGGATCATGCTGGAGGTCAAAAATAGGAACAAACATTAGGTCCCTACCTGTTCAGTACATGTACATATTGTATAAAGTGCAAATGTATGGATTTGTATGTACGATAAGGAGTATACGTTTATGACTAATACATTTGGTAAAAAAGCTAACGCAACGCTATCAACTATGAAGAAATGCTTCAGGCACTGCCGTTGTGGGATGTGTGGCGAACCGCTGAGGAGCTTTAGTGAGTAAGGCGGTTCTGTAGAATCTCACACATTTGGCAGGAAGGGTCGGCAATACTGTCGAGCTTCTCTGCCTGAAAGAACCTATAAAAACTTTCCCCTAACCAATAAAATCTCTAAGAAACAGCAACATATATTGTTTTATTGAACACAATTACATACCTGGGCATAGGGCGAAGCAGTTGGACTTATCATATTCCAATGCACAATATTGTATTTATAACCTATAGAATTTGCATCCGTTGAGGTAATAATGGACGTGGTCTATGAACTACGACCGAAATACCATACATACTCAAAACAGTTATTTTCTCAGTAACAATAATGCCTGGTTACCTACCTTAATCCACTGTAAGGCCATCATCTGGTCGAACATGCCAGCATTTCCAGGTACGTCCGATGTACCAAAGTAGAGGAAGCCCAATGATGCAACTCGGTACTGCATTGACACCAATATCACGTTCTCTTCACTAACCAGAATATTATGATCATACACATCCAATGTGTTTGTCCCTGAATAGAAGCCACCGCCAAATATCCATACCTGAAAAAAGACAGAAGGCATAGTAACTAGAGAAAAAATATTCTCAATTTTTTTACTTCTCTTTATATACAAGTAATAAGAGCTTTCATTAAAATGTATTTTTTTATTCTTTACTTTTTCTTTTCAGTATTTATGATGTCAAATAACTAGTTTGATATTTGCTATATAATTTTAATATGTTTCAGTAATAGGGACTCCATAAAACTTCTAACTTTATTCGTATTATAAAATTCCGATAGATATAATGATAAATCGATATTTTCCGGCGATCACACAGCATTTAAAATGACATTATTTGCTAATCGTGTTTCTCTCATTAGGCCATTTTATTCGATACCCATATCATTGCGGTTGCCACTCAAATTTTAAATCGCCATATTGGATCTATCTCTCTCATCAATTACTTTAATTTGATACCCATATTTAGGGTTTAAATGGAAATGATGAATCGACATTTTATAGCATCCGCCATATTTATTCCAAAATGGCGGCAGTCAATTTCGTATTGTTACGTAAACCGAACATGTTTACAAAATTTCAACTCAATTGATTAAACTTAACTGATTCAAAGTTCCGTTCCAAGATTTATCCCCACACTCAGTAACATACATACGGTCAAGTTAAGCGAAAGCTTGTAAAAATCCAACATTGTTGAGACATAGCGATAGTCATCGAATCAAAATACTTGTTGCACGTTGCAAGGTACTGTAGGCTTAGAGATACATACCATCGATTCATACAACAAATAGGTCCATAATTCTTAGTTTATGTCAAAACTCATTACAATTTATATATTAAAAATATGAAGTTTTATGAGAATATACCTACCATGACAGCAGCATTCTTGGGTCTAGGCTTTGGTACCACCACGTTGATATAGAGGCAGTCTTCGCTCAGAGGCGTATTAGGATTCCACATAGTGGAACCCGGAAAATCACCGAAAACCTGAAAATATTTCAAAATTATTTAACATGTGGGTTCAAAGTGCTAAGTCCGTCAGTTCACCTTTTTTTTATAAAAGCTCAAATATTTCTGCTATAAATAGTAGGTACGTTTTAGGAAGTTAATCTAACAGCTTTCTGTTACATTTTGCATAAGATGATTCTCTTAAAACTTTGAAAATTGGCAATCTAAAAGATATCTGGGATAGACTGAAGCAGTGAAATGTTAGCAAGGGAAGCATATACTATTGATAGGTGGTACGAGATTTTTTTTGAGACGATATGATCAGGCGGCCATAATGTGTCCATAGCATGTGCATAGGGTGTCCCAAGCAAAGCTGCAGCTAGAGTATAATAAATTGATGGGAGCACTGAAAGTCCACACCATCAGTTTTCTCATTTCAAATAGAGCATACAGTATATTACTCAATATCTGGACTCTGCTCTAGATCCTAAATATAATTCATGTGCATCATTCTGTATCCAAGTCCAGCTGTTTCTGAAATATCTCTAGTTCAAAAATATGGTCAACTGAGATTATCTTATGGTAAAAGCCGTATAGACCAATATTTACATACATATAATATATCGGAAACTAATAATTCACTAGTAGTACTCGTAGTAGTAGTGCTGAGGCAAACTCTCGCAACTAGGTCACCTTTGGCTATTTGTCGACTCCGTAGTATCAACATTGTACTACTTCTAGAGCCATCTAGTGGTAGCTGATTTAATAAACCAGTTATAGCAATGAGATGTACCTATCGTTAACATAACATAACACAGCATCCGTGACTCAAAATTAAACATCCGAGGCGGAGATTCGAAAACCGTAGGTTCCTTTAAAAAAAATTATGCTTATGGGATCCTTAAATTCTAATTTTTATGATCACCCTATTTGTTATCAAAGTCCGGAATAAAATCTACTAAAGTCCCTTTCAATAACAAACTGGTAAGGAATCATATGGCTAAGACAATAGTACAGAAAAGTGTTATATTTATATTTATTTGTCCTGAATTCGTTATTTTCTGCTCAGAATTTGAAATGCCTAAATAACAGTCAGACTTCAGTATAGGATGATACTCGTATACGTGAAATATACAGGGTGGCGCATCGAAAAGTAAACAGACGCATTTACTGGCAGCTCAGTTTTTTTTTTGGAAAAACGCTCAGACCCGTCGAATTCGTTTTCGAGGGGGACACAAGTTTGACAAAAAGCTCTCTGGGCGGGGGTGACACCAACTCTAAAATCTTAAATGGAAAGGGGGGTCGAGTCATACCTTATTTTAAAGGTCTTTCAATTCCCTTTATAATAATGTAAAATACATGAGCTTCAGTTCAGTAGTTTTGAAGATTTATTGATTTAAAGCCTAAAGTAGACTTTAATAGGTGCATCAGATTAGTTTGTACTACTTTCAGAAGAAATTTGACTAAAAGAATTTACTTAAAAAGTAAATGCTTTTCTTCACTACGCCCATGGTTTGTTTATCATTTTGTTGTTGAAAATAGCTATTGGAGCGTTTTTTTGTGGCAAAAAGTTATTTCTTGAAGAAAGATAAGGAAATATCTCGTACTTATTTTAAATAGGAATTTAGTACATAGTTTGTGATTGATTTCACCAAACTTTGTTGCTAAAACAACTTGTAACGTTTATAAATTAACCACAGCAGAAAGAGTTGGAATTATCGAAATATTTTTCGGAAATAATCAGTGCGCTAATAGAACAGCAGAAATATTTAATGAGCGACATGAGAACAGTAACGTGCATCGAAAATATGTTCCAGAACTTGTAGCTAAATTTCGGGAAACTGGGTCAGTCGCCAATAAAAAACGCAACATTGAAAATCCCATAAGGAACGAAGCAATAGAAGTGGGGGTTTTAGGGCAAGTTTATGTAGATCCTACGATAAGTACCCGCAAATTGGAGACTGAGTGTGGTGTTAGTCGACGTACTGTCCAACGGATTCTAAAGGCCCATAGTTTTCATCCGTATAAAATTCACCTGGTACTTAATGAAGACGATTTTGATCGGCGATTACAATTTTGTGAAGATATGGGTGAACGAGTTATAAACGATGAACATTTTCTATTCAATACTTGCTTTTCCGACGAATGTTCCTTTTTCTTAAATGGCGTAGTAAATCGTCATAACTGCCGATATTGGTCCGATTCTAATCCCAGAATTTATCATGAGGTTCATACACAGCAGCCACAAAAATTAAATGTTTGGGCTGATATTTTTAGCGATCATGTATATGTAGTTGGTCTTTTTTTCTTACCTGGAAATTTGACCGGTGAAATATATTTGGAATTACTGGAAGACGCCATAGATTCTGCATTAACAGTCATAATTGAAAATCAGAATTATCGGCGGTACATTGCGAATAGGTTGATGTTCCAACAGGATGGTGCCCCACCACATTACGGATTACGTGCTCGACAATATTTAGATCAGATCGATGGGTTGGTAGAAGAGGTGCCATTGAATGGCCCCCAAGATCGCCAGATTTATTACCTTTGGATTTCTTTATGTGGGGTCATTTAAAAAGCAAAATCTATGCTACCCAGCCAACATCATTAGAAGACCTGCGACAAAGAATTCTGGATGAGTGCCTTCAAATTACTCCTCAAATATTGCAAAATGTGCGGCAACGTTTTGAGCAAAATCTTTATTATTGCATGGAGAGTCATGGTAGCCATTTTCAACATTTGCTTGCCTAACGGGTCAGTTCATTCTTCATTTTTAAATTACTTTGCTGACAAATGTATTTAACTCCACTAATGATGATGTATTATTTTTATTTAAGCTTTAAATCAATAAATCTTCAAAACTACTGAACTGAAGTACATTAATTTTATATCATTATAAAGGGAATTGAAAGACCTTTAAAGTAAGGTATCACTAGACCCCCCATTTCCATTTGAGATTTTGGGGGTGGTGGTCAAAGTTTTTTCCTTGCAGTGTGTAAAGTAAAAACGTCACCGGGTGTTAAATTTTATCATTGTTTGTGTACACTACCACTCTGCCCAGTTTTTTTTTTCTGCCATAGATCTTCAAAATGCCAGCAATTACTCTCTTGTTATTAACATTGATGAACATATTTATGCTTACGTTTTTTATTATTGAAGTATATGATTCCAATTGTTACAGTATATATTTGTTTTTCTTGTTACTCTTTGGTAGTCAAAAATGTTCTTCCTAACTCTTGCGGAAACTCTGCTCCGCGTTGGTCGGCCATCTGCATGGAGTGGGATAAGGTATCACTTTCTGCACTTGTTAGGAAATTAACCATAGAATCTCACGAAGAATGCAAAGAAGGGACAGCATCCAGGGGTATTATATTTGAAATAATGAAGTTGATGTCTACTTTTGGTATAACCGGAAATGCTACCATCTTGAAAATATTTCACGTCAACTTATTATAATGTTCTTCCACAGAAGAGCGCGATTCTTCTTATAGCCAAACGGTATTTACTCTTCGACTTCATAGCGTCTCAGACTATGGTTGAACCTTTTTTGCCGACGCTGTAGTACCAATGCTGGCAACTACTCCACAAGCCATCTATTGGTAACTGATTACTGATTAAACCAGATCCAGCGATGCGATGTACCTAAGTTAATCTTTCACCGATCTGGTGCGTGATATAGATAACACGCAACAGAACATCCATGGCCCGAAAGGCGGAGATTCGAACCCCCTCATAGCGACTTAAGCGAATACAAAGGATGACAGCGGAATCTATCAATCATTCTTACCGTATCGATGATCTGTACACAGGAATTAGGCTGGGTGGTGGTGTTTAGGATACCATCCCATTTTTCCACGGGTCGTGGATGCCGAAACCTTAGGTTTCCCAATGGCTTTTGGGCGTACGGTACGCCCAGCCAGGCATCTATCTGGAAAGAAATTATGTATGCTATATGGAAATTCTTGAACAAGAGTAATTATAGCAGAAAGTTAGCTAGCGTTAAACATATACTGAGTGACAAAAAAGGTAAACACCTACGTATGCTTATTAGAATTCAAGAATTTATCTTGCCACGAACAACACGTTATAAAATGGTCAGATTTTTCTGTTATGTTTTTGTGGTGGTTGCGTATATTGTTTGGTGATAAAGAAGCATTTAGTTTTCGTACATTTACGGTGTCAGTTAAATGTTAAATTTCGTGTAGCTTATTGAGTAGCCTTTTTGTGATGCCTAGAGTGCGTGGAATTCGCCGGGTTCGAAGGATCGAATTTTTGGGTTACGTGAAGCCGGTCTATCGCTAAGAGAAGTTTCTAGGAGGACCAACAGATCCTTATGCAATATACTGCAGTGTGAACGAGCGTGGACTCACGAAGGCCGAGGACAGCGAGCGAGGGGTTCTAGCTTCTGGCTCTGAGAGACAGATGCAGTAGTACTCGAGCCATCGCTAATCAGTGGTTTGAAGAGCATGGAAGGATGGTTGGTATGCATACGGTATATCGCCGAGTATGACAGACGCTATATTCAGGAAGCAGTGGAGCCTCATCCTATTCCATACCTAAACACTATCCAAAACCCGATTTTTGAGCAAGACAATGCCAGAACGCATGTTCCCAGAGCATCGTTAGCCTTCATGGATCAACATCGCATCAACCGTTTACCTTGACCGCCTATCTCCAATTGAACATGCATGGGACATGATGGGTCGCAGGCTCTTGAATTTGCAATACCCTCCACTGTTTTTAGCAGCTCTTAGTCACGAAGTTGCAGTACCCTGGAATGAGATACCCCAACAGTATATCGACCACCTTATCAGCACGATACCCAGACGTGTCAATGAGTGTATAAGAAATCGTGGATCCTCAACACATTATTGAAACAGCTTCTGCAGTCAGCTGACGAATCAAGCTGAAAATTCAATCATTTTACTAGTAAGGGATACTGAACATATATGCAAAACATTATTAAAATCGGAGAAACATACGTAGGTGTTTACCTTTTGTTGTCACTCAGTATACATTCGAAAGTACAACTTAATTACGTTTTATAATGAGCGATTAAATAAGTTCTACTATAGGGTTTATTT